CATCTCGACATATACGATTTTTTGTTTTACCGAAATTCTGAACCGCGATCTTGCGTTCTTTTATCTCCAAAAACAGGGTATTTGTTACTCCAAAAACAACAATACTATGAGAGAAAGAGACAAAATATTACGTTATAGCGCTGGCTCGTTCGGCGATCTAGTTGGCTTCGACACTGTGACAGTTCAGTTGCCACCTGCGCTTTGAGATGTGAGGTGCTCTTCGTTTTTAAGAAAAACGTGACATCTCGAGGATACCGCGGTATTGATGACAAAGTTAAGTTTTTAAAATATTTTTATTTTATTCGACAATGTGGCACGTTATACTTATCACAGTGTTCTTCTAAAACAAAAAGCAAAGTAAAAGAGAAATTATTTATATGTCACGTTATTCTTGTAAGAAAATCGAAGTATCATCGGGACATCTTAACTAGTAACGTTGTAGATGATGAAAATTTTTCCTATATTGAAAATATGTTGTAGGTCATTTGTTGATGTTCTGTTATTGCAGAATACATGTTATTGAAATTGAATGGTATATCTACTTGTCACGTTGTATACGCTAAACAGTAATACTAANAAATTGTGTAATTAGCAAAAATGTATTTTATTAATTTCTTGGAAACAATCACATCACTTTTGTGCATTTTGCGTTTCGATTGGTAATTTACAAGGTACCTCGTTGGTCCATTGGTTTTGGTAGGTATGAGTTTTTTTATCTCATTCGTCCCCACAAAAAATCGGAATTACTCCTAGGGAATTTTCGATTCATCTAGCTCAATCGTCTCGTCGCGAATAAGGTTAGGTAAATAGATACCACCTATTTCTATCCCTGATAATAATATAAAATATACAGGTGTTTGGTAGAATGTTAGACAAACTTCGTAAGTAAGGTCATATTGAATACAAGTTCGCCCATTTGACCCTAAATGAGCTATTTTTTTATTGATATTTATTATTCATTTATTATTTTCTGAAATTTTACCTAAACCTATTTTTTTATTCGGTATAAATATCCAATAATTATGTCTTTAGTCTAATAAAAAACATTTTATATCCAGATAAAAAGCCAGCCAAAGTTTAACAAAAGTACAAAACACGATAAAAAACTTAACTTAGAAATTGATTTAACCCTTTACCTACGGGGCCCTTGGAAACCAAAGTCGCCTCTCAATACGGGGTATTTTAACCTATAAAATTGTTTGCTACACTTTACATCAAGATATTTTTAAAAGTATGAGACTTACGGTATTTAAATTTGGAATATTATATTTTGAATTTATAATTGTTTGTGTGTATGTTTATTTTCGAACCCGTTTAATATGGACTTTTAAAAATTGTCTGAAATTAAGAATTTTTATTTATTTATTTGCAACTAATGTAGTTTCATAATTACAAGCGCATTTTACACTTAATTTGCAATTTTATTGTTTTTTTTGTCGTAAACCGTGATTTAGTATTGGCTTTGCCAAAATAACAATAGATGCCACCCGTATTGAGAAGTGACTTTTGACTTGGCAACTATAGGTGCCTCCCGTAGGTAAGAAATGGAAAATGGAATGTGTTAGTGGATTGTTTTTAAGATCATTTAAAAACATTTCTAGCTCTAATTATCTCTTCTTTCCAACGATAATAACTAAATATCACTAAACTTGTAGTACCTAAAATATTGGATTTCTTCAAACATCGCCATCTTTTCTGATATAGAATACTGCTTTTTATTGCTCTTTTATGATTTATTTCAAAATCAAATCAAAAATAATAACCGCATAGAAAAAAAAGTATTTTTTGCACGCGGCTTTATTTTTCGGCTGCCGTGATCACAAGCAGACTGGCAGCTGGCGGAATCGTCCGTTCGGGTGGGCTTAAATATTTTAAACTACCCTAATATTGTCATTGTTACACTGTAGTGGCGTTGCTTCGACACGCAGTATTCGTATTCGTACTTGACATGTAACTCATATCTCCGTGTCCGTCAGATGAACAAAAGAGACCATTTCTTCTTGAACTTAGTCTTGTGAATGGCTCATTCGTTTGCTAAATTGCCGTTTGTCTGTGAGTGTACTAGAAATTCTCTCGATTAGGTATGGAAATTGGAAAATAATTTGGAATACTCGAGTTAAAACGATTCTAGAATTTCCTATTAATTTGATGACCATATTTGCTGTCATAATACAGTTATTCAAACACTGAAGCAATTTTATTGATGAATGTATTGACCAAATTTGGTATACTTAGGTAAGTATTACATTTACGTACATTCCAACTTTGTTTAAAAATGTAAAAAATTCTAAACTTCAATTTCCTATATTGTAATTGTTATCAAAATAGTATTTAATTGACTGTTTTATATTAAACCTTAGATATCATTTTGCCACTAGCTTAAAAGTAAAACTGTTTGTCCGACTGCTACTGTAATTTACTTTTAGAGTTGTGTTATTTGGCAGCTGCGATACAAGCGTGAGCTTAGTGCAGAAGCCGCTGAAAATGTTAAGCCTGTACTACTTCTTAGAAATAAAGCTAATATTTATTTATTTATTTATTACCTCAAAAGAGTATTAGAAATGTATGTTTTTAAGAGGTACTTATAGTGAGAGAACAAGCAAAAATATTTTGAGGAATTCTACTTAAAATAAAAAAAATAAAAAAGTTATTTAACAACTTTAATACTTTACATTGCGTTGTACATACTTTTGTCCTTGTCAGGACTACGGAACCCTAAAAAAGTAGTGCTTAAATAAAAGTAGTGCTGGCGACTTTACATTGTATGCAATCTACCAAATGAGGCGTAGCTTTTTCTGCTTATGCGAAATGCGATATTAAAACAGGTCCTAATGATATTACGCGTAAATGTGGTTTTACATAAGCGTCAACCTGTTCATCCAGTACCGAGTTCTGTGGAGATAATCTCAATTGCCTAGTTTAAAATTAGCCACGGGGGATTCCGTATCTTCTTTAAGTTCGTCCTTGTTTGTTCATGCAGTGTTTAATTTGTATTTAAGGATGAAGCTGTAAGAAGTCCAGTTAATTAAAATAATGTTAACTTGATTTTTCTTCGAGGTTTCATTTCCTGATGGTTGTTAAAGCTACTAAATGTGAGATATGGATTTTCAATGTTTATTTTACAGTGCAATTTTTTTGTGCGTATTTTATTTGATTGTTGTGTTTATTCTGTCATAAGATTTGCCTTTGCGTGCTAGTTTTTTTGCGCTGTTTCTTCTCAGCGCTACCGTGTTTCTTCACCTTATAGTTCGTATAATAACACCGTATAATAATATAATAACACTTATAATGTGTTTAATTTTATAAACAATTAGCAGAATACCTAATCTAAATATATAAAAGGAGAAACTGACTGACTGACTGACAGATCAACGCACAGCCTAAACGGCTAAACGTAGGCACTTGAAATTTGGATGGGACGTAGTTTACGTACCGTAGAGGTGCACTAAGAAAGGATTTCCCGAAATTCCCACGGGAACAGGAATTAGCGGAAAAATCCTTTTGTATGAAAAATCTAAACCGCTTAAGTTAGACGCTTGAAATTTGGTATGCAGGTACCTTAGTAAACTTAAAGCTTAGATACAACAGGATATCGTAAAATTCCCACGGGAACGGGAGTTAGCGGGAAAAAACATATGTATGAAAAAATCTAAACTGCGTAAGATAGACGCTTGAAATTTGGCATGCAGGTACCTTAGTAAACTTAAAGCTTAGTTACAACAGGATATTGCAAAATTCCTACGGGAACGGGAGTTAGCGGGAAAAAACATTTGTATGAAAAAAATCTAAACCGCTTAAGATAGATGAAGGGGGTAAAACGGGATCCACGCGTACGAAGTCGCGGGCGGCCGCTAGCTATCATCTATCTATCTATATAAATAAAAATGAATTGATGTTCGTTAGTCTGATTATAGCCTGACCAGGAACATAAAAACCCTCGCCATGTTGCGGAAAACTAATGGTACTAATTTCTTTTAATGGCAACAGTAACTGAAAACTTCATTGACATGTCACCTTGCATGTCAGTCTATTGCTGTCAAAGTGTAAACAAACTTTATTTTAAATGTGCGCAATTGATTTTGTGAATTAAATTGCTAAAATCTTTTTATAGTCGTGAAAGAAAAGAAATACTACGGGTTCGGACAATATTTTCATTGAATAATGTTTCCGACAAAGGTTGTCAAATTGACTGACATGTTTATCGTATAGTACAGTCCACTATGAAAATTAGCTGTGGTTTGTTTCAAATACCTATTTTAAAGTTTTTTGTCACTTTCTAAGTGTTGAATTTTATGGAATTGGGAAAGAAGTACCGAGTTTGAAGCGTTCATGAGCAGACATTGCAGTTGAATATTCAAGTTCTGAATTTGATTATTGATGAATAATAAAATAAATCCTACTAGCTCGATTGATGGTTTCATTTAATTTATTTAAACCAGGTTACCTATAATAATATTTTTTCGTTAATTTATGAAAATATCAAATTAGCCCGTAATCCTGAATCCTGATACATAAAGTTAGCCTATTAATTTAACACAGGTACGACTGTACTCAGTGTTGCACTATCAAATGCAATTGACGCGCCTCTATGCCAGGGTTTTTATGTTCCTGGTCAGGCTATATAACTCGAGAACGGCTGGGCCGATTGAGTTGATTTTGGTTTTAAACTGTTTGTCGTAGTCCAGGGTAGGTCTAAACGGTGAGTAAATACGCGCGCGATATTGTTTTTCTGTGACAGACAAAATTCCACGCGGGCGAAGCCGCGGGCGGAAAGCTAGTAATAATATAGTTTTTATTCGCCATAGTAATTTCTGATTAGTTTGGGATGCCCAATTGGTAATAGTTTTAAACATTCATAACAATTTATTACTGCTCTTTCTATCAATCACTATTGCTATCAACTAGATGCCATCCCCACACGTAACCAGCCAGCCATGTAACTCTATGTATAAAGTTCGCCGAAGGTTTTCGTGGAAACTTGTCTTTGCACCGGAGTGAAAGGCTCGAGTGTGAAATGGAGAGTTCTCAACTTTTAAGACAGATAAGAAGTTTTTGAAAATTATTTGTGTTGAAAATGCGAAGTTCTATTTTACTGATTATGTTGAACTTGGAGTTCTTGCAGGCGTTTTTTCTATTCGCTGGTAAGTTATTAAATAGAAACCTATCACGAAGACTGAAACTACGCATTCTGTACACCCAACCAAGTAATATTACAAAATATTATTGGTGGGAAATATTTTTTATTTTTATGATTAAAAAAAATACAATATTCCGCAGCCCGCAATGTACAGCGCGCCACGCAACGCAATGACCGTGCCTATGTGTGTGTGAGTGTATTGGAGCGTACGCGCTTTCCCGCCACTACCTACCGCGACCGCAGAAGTATTTTGTACACAAAATTACCAGATTATTCACTTCCTACATTTAAAAAACACATTCCTTTAGCATTTGTTCAGGTTTAGAACTAAGTACTTACCGACTAATCCCCTTCGACGTCGTCTGGAATCGGCCGCTCCAACCGGACAAGTTGTGGCTCGAACTGACGGCCTTCCACGTGCAAGCAAACGCGTGCCCGGTAAAGCGTGTTTTGATGTACGCGCTCCAGTATTCCTTCACGTACAGACCGGTATTTAAGTTCCTCAAATACGACACAATACACGCCTTGACGAGGCGGACGGAGGCACAATCGGCTGATTGTCCAACAGACGTTGTACAACCAGAACAAAAATACGTGCATCAGTACGGTGGTGCGCTGTAGGATGTTCAGCCCGATACCTACAGCCCGCAGGGCTTCAGATGCGTTTCCACGTGCCCTCCCATAACAGTAAACCATGTTTACGTACTCACGAGCACTGTACGTATGGTTAGGCATCTTTCTAACACTCATTCACTATTACCACACTCACTATTACACGTTCACACACTAACTATCCGCACGAGAAAATAATCAAAGTCGCAAGCGCACTTGACGACCGAAGAAACCGAACTGGCCGCGCTAGCGCCTAGCAAGCAACGCGAGGCGCGAGCGGCCTAGCAACAAAGGCGCTGCCCCGCGCGGCGAGACTGACCAATCACAGTCAAGCAATACGTCTATCAAATGACGTCATGAATCGGTAGCGCTTTGTTATTATTCTTAATTTTCAACTACTTTACGTAATTTTTAACATAACAAAACTTTAATTTCGTTAGTTTAGTACATGCAAGTCTATCAACGAATGACAATGTTAATGCGACGGGAAAAATACTTTGTTTAATCTTTGTTAACTAAAGATCCGTCCTAGCATACTTAATAATACCTAATTAATGCTCTTAGTTACTTAATAATACCTAATTAAATTATGCTCCAAAATACTCAAATTTGAATGAATTGTAGATGTACGCAATCGTTATTAATAAAACAATAAGAATATCAATACATTTTGATCGTTATTTCATGTAATAAAGTTACATTCATTCATTCATTTAACCCTTTCAGCCCAGCCGAACACAATTGTGACGTTAGTTTAAAGATAAATTTTGGCGGTATTTTAAGACGTAAGTGATCGGGCCCACAGCCGCACAATTGTGACGGATATGCTCTATCTATTGGTGTGAGTAAGATAGCCAGCAAGCGCCGCGAAATTCAAATTAAAACGGGTTCATTTTGCCGTTGCTGTTGTTTAGGGTATCGCTGCGTGTGAGTGATTCTAATTACATTAAAATTATGCCATTGCTATGTTATTATTGTGATTTATAGTTAATTATGAACTGTTTTACGTAATAGTGAATAAATTTGTTTGTATTTTTGGTTAATTCTCAAGAAAAAGTGTCACAGAAGTATAAAGTCACAATTGTATCACTGCGGGCCCAACTACATACTACATTGCATTGGCTAGATATTTTTTTTCCTTAATTACGATACAATTGGGGAGTTACTGGAACAGTAAGATATGGAAGATGTTCATGGGGCATGTGTGCAAGATTAGAAGATTCTTACTCCTCCAAGAATGATGCTCCATTCTCATCTTTGAGGGCAACCCCCAATCAAAATGACGGCAAATGGATAAAAAAAAAGATTTCGTGTGATAGAATGATGGTTATGCGTAAAAGTATGGTTTAGTTAAAAATGTTTAATAACCAAGGTTCTGTAAGATTTTTTATTTTGCGGAAAGAAACAAATTCATGTAAAGGGTTTTTATTAATTAAAGGGTAATTTATTAGTTTTTAGAACAAAAACTAAAGTGGTAAGGTGATAAGGTGTAAGTGACTAATTTAAGTACTCATTTCATTTTTACAAATTGGGTAGATTTGGATTAAGCTCAGTCCAGGTCCAGTCGTAGTCATTGAACTCACAGTAGAGTTGAATGACTCACGGGCGAGCGCGGGTTGCGGGGCGTGGGGGCAGCGCCTGAGCGTGTGTGCGCGCGCTGCTATACATTTCTTATTGTAAAGACAAAAGCCTAATTGTGACAAAAATACTCAAAATTTTAATAAGGTTTCTTAGAAAAAAAGTTTCTAAATAACGAATTGAAATTGATATTGTAAAAATCTTGAAAAAAATATTCTGACTTTGACTTTCAATATCTCCTAAACCACAAGTTTCCCAGGTATGGTCCCAAAGAAAAAAATGATCCTCATGATGTGGAGAATAAGTAGCCTTCGGCTTCGTGATAGGTTTTTTTACACCCGTTATTTATACTATACTCGTAGTTGAAATATACAGAGTAGAGATTAGCGAATAAGCTCCGAAATTACTAGACCGAATTGAAAAATTATTTTACGACTAGAATCCTACATTATTTCTGATGAACATAGGCGGTACGAAGTTTATTTTATTTTTGTTTTATTTTTCTTTATTCAGAAAACCACAGCTCTTTATAATAATAATACAAACAGGTATTTTTGTTCTACTTAACTTGGCTGTACCAAGTAAGTTCGTAAGTTTAAGTTCGCTGGGTCAGCTAGTTTTGAAATAAAATACTGCCTATCACACCAATTATCTATTGTAAAATTTTTGACATTAGCGAAGCTTTTTGCGCTACTTCTTTTCAGCACTATGTTACTTTACTTGTTCTATATGTTATGTCAATACATTTACAGCTTACCTACCTACTCTAAATACGATTTCTTAATATCCCAGGAATCCATCCTATGATATATGCTCGTTAGTGCGTCCAATTACCAATAATAACACAACACATATTGTCTTTTGTTTTATTAATAAATCTTGTTCCAGAAAAACACGAGCCCATATTGTTTTGTTTCAAAATCTGTCCGTTGTACTGCTCGCCGCGGCGGCGTGACGAGGGTAGGTTATTTACTTGTCTTATAAGTTTTGTGTTTAGATAATATTTATTAGAGTTATAGGTTAAGACGGATGACCACAGGGATGACCAAGAAAATGGTCGTAATAGTGTATTAGCAGTCTGAGTCATATATCTATAATACGCCTCCAATACAAGATTTATTGTCATTGTTGAAATCATTTAGGGAGGCCATGTTCGGCAGTGTACGTCTTATGGCTGAAAATAAATGATGACGATGATGAATTATACAAGTCACCGACTGATTTTGTTTACTTCTTCAAGCATGATAATTAGAATTCAGAAAAAAACATCAATTTTATTAAACTTGTGTATCTCTTCCGTTCATTTATTGAGTTTAAAAAATTTAACTTCACAATTTTTCAGTTTACACAGTTGGTATTATTGTTTTTTTTTAAATAGTAATTTTAATTGGTGGTTCAAAATTATGAAACTTAAGCACTCAATTGTAACAGTAATTAGTTATTTAGCTTAATTGGTGATGTGCTAAAGATCTTAAAAAATAACTCCAGAAATGAAACGCAAGGACCAAACTAACTTACAAATAAATGGTTACAAAGCAGTGTTTAAATATTTGAAGTTTGTTGAAGTTGATTGTTCGCAAGAATTCTCCCACTCTCTGCTCTAAACTTTTATTTGTTTGGCGAAGAAAAATATTCCAAAATTAGTTACGCTTTAAAATCTGAACTAATAAAATGCAAAAATATCTCTACTGTCTGTTTAGTGGCACGTGCAAATCGAAATTATTTTTAATGTTTTGTTATTATGTTAGATTACTTAGGCTATAAGTATAATTATTCGCTATTTTACGTATATTACCATTCATGTGACATTTTGTTGTTGCATTGCGGTGCTCCTTGAGAGAAGTTTAGGTATACCTAACCTAAACTGCCTGAAAATTTTATTGCTGCTAAGTTTCCTTTGAAAGAACTTCATTATTGAAAGAAAGAAAGAAAAAATATTTATTTGGTACTAAATGACACACTTATATTGTTCGTTTCAATTACAAGACATCTACTGGGATAAAAGCCTCGACTGATCTTGTGCTGCCTGCATTCAAATCGTCAGTCAACCGAGTGGTAGGAATTTTCTAGTATAAGAACAAGAATATTTATTTGTTTTTCAATAGGGTCTATAACTATCAGGATATGGTCATATCCAGTTTTTAAAAATAGCATCCAAATATTACTTCACTAGGTGTATCAACACAAAATAATTATGTTTTGTTTCACAGATGCATCATCCCTGATCTACATCGAAGACGACCCACCTCCCCCCTATGAGGACTACAGTCCCCAACCTTACCACGCTGGTCACTACATCTTCTGCCATTCCAAGCCGACTACGAAGCCCAAACCAACGACAACTACACCTATGCCTACCACTACAGAGGAGCCTACATTTATATGTTTGTTATGTATGAAGAAGTGTGGGTTCCCACCTAAAAGTAGATAATTTTGTATGTAAGATTTAGAATTGTAAATAACTTGAAAAATTGAATTGTCTAAGACGGGTCTCGAACCCACGACGCTACTTAGACACTGGATGAACCAGTCGAAAAATTTTCTAGTGTAGGTAGGTACTACGCTTTTAAGTTAATGTAATTAGATTTTTGAAATACAAGCGCACCGAGAGGTGACAAGGGACAAGGAGACTTGAATGTTAAATACATTATGGCGCTGTATATTGCGCAATATTGTCAATATAGGGTGACATATGGAGCGATATTGTCACAGATTCGCAATTGAGTGTGAGTGATTGCTTTCCAGGACATGTGCCTGGGTAACTTGAGTCTCTTGTGTCATTTAGTAGACAGTTGTTGTGGTGATCCGGCTCGAAGGACCAGGAAAATGTGGTGATCCGGCTCGAAGGACCAGGAAAATGTGGTGGACTGCAGTGGACTGTATGCGTTTGTGTGTGTTCGAGAGCGCTGACCGGACGATGATGACTGCCGTTGAGAGCTTGCCCTTACTATGTCAGGCGTAGTAGGTGCTACTTGCAGGAATAAAACCACTATTTCACTTGCTGAGACTTCTCGCGTTTATTATTCGCTTCCTTTTCTCAGTTCTTGCTTCTTCAGATCACTTGTTGCTTGGAGCACTTGTTCTCTGAACTGAACACAACAATACATCACATTAAATAAACTCAAACTTGTCTCCCGGAGCGCCTCGCTCCGTATTTATAGGGCCCCGGGCTATATCCATCCCTTTCTCTCCCGATATTCCTGTCTCTATCTCTCATGTTCTGGACCATAGTTCTGGAATGTTCGAAGCGAGAGGTCCGATGTTGCCGTCCCGTTTCTTTTTCTCTCGAATATTCCAGAAGTGTGTGGAAGAGTATTTGATGTGCAAGCGAGATGAGAGATAATGTGAGAAAGAGATGGAATGTTATTTATACCTAATCGACTCTAATTGATTATTTTACAACATTTTCTGACTGTTAATGTTGCTAATCGATTCTAATTAATAAGTTAGCGTATTTCCTTGGTCGACGTCGCTAACAATCTCCCCCGCAGTGCGAAGCACTCCCTCTTCCGGATGCGACGTCTTGGCAGGAACCAGGACTACCACTCGTCGCGTCGGTCGCCGTAGCACTCCTCCGGGTGTTTGCACGTCGAGGACTCGTTCTCTTCTGTCCGGACCGGGGTATACCCTCTGCACTTCCCCTCGTGGCCAAGTGTTCCTTGGAAGCGATACGTCGACTATAAAAACGACGTCGCTGACTCGAGGTTCTTCTGTTTCCCGTCCGGTTATCTACTTCGGCATCTAAGTTGGCAGGTACTCTTTTAGCCATCTTCGCCAGAAGTGGTCCGTCAAGCGCTGCGCTGTCCTCCAGTTCGCCTTCCCGATGAAGTCGCGGTTCTTGAACACGCCCGGCGTCATCGCTCCGCAGGATCTTCCGTTCGGGAAGTGGTTCGGCGTGAGTCTTTCTTCGTCGTTGGGATCCGCGCTGATACAGGTAAGTGGACGCGAATTCACAATATGTTCCGCTTCGAGGAGGAGCGTGTGCAGGACTTCTTCCGGTGATGTCCTTTCTTTCAGGACGGCCATTAGTGTCGTCTTCACCGTGCGGACCCTTCTCTCCTAGGCGCCTCCCATGTTGAGACATCCAAGTGGGATGATCATCCAACTTCTTCTTGATGGGATGCTTGTGCGTCTGATGCCCTCTGCTGGTCTTCTTCAGGACACTGCGAGCCCGTTTGTCGGCGTCGTTGAATGGCCGACGTGGTTCCACTCCGATGTCCTCTTTCTCGAAGTGTTGGTGAACCAAGGCTTCCGTTCCATCTTCCACTAATCTGCTGTGGTGCACTAACTTCACTGGATCACTTCTTCCAGTGTTGCATCCATGCAGAACCCATCCAAGGCTGGTCAAAGAGGCAACTGGTTCGGAGGCCTTCCCTCTGCGTAGTCTCCGTGTGACTATCAGCCTCCAATTGTCTTGCCCAATCAGAAGTCTAGGTACTTCTTTGTCGTAGACCAGCTTCTTCTTAATTTTCTTCAGGTGTTTCCAGTTTTGAAGCATTCCTTCTTCGACACCTTGCTTCGTCAGCTTCAAGTTGTCGATAGTTCTCGCTTCGATGTTGAGTTTATTTCTACAATGGACCCCCTTGATCTTCATGTTGATCTTCTGAGAGTTGCTTGTGGTGATCCGGCTCGAAGGACCAGGAAAATGTGGTGGACTGCAGTGGACTGTATGCGTTTGTGTGTGTTCGAGAGCGCTGACCGGACGATGATGACTGCCGTTGAGAGCTTGCCCTTACTATGTCAGGCGTAGTAGGTGCTACTTGCAGGAATAAAACCACTATTTCACTTGCTGAGACTTCTCGCGTTTATTATTCGCTTCCTTTTCTCAGTTCTTGCTTCTTCAGATCACTTGTTGCTTGGAGCACTTGTTCTCTGAACTGAACACAACAATACATCACATTAAATAAACTCAAACTTGTCTCCCGGAGCGCCTCGCTCCGTATTTATAGGGCCCCGGGCTATATCCATCCCTTTCTCTCCCGATATTCCTGTCTCTATCTCTCATGTTCTGGACCATAGTTCTGGAATGTTCGAAGCGAGAGGTCCGATGTTGCCGTCCCGTTTCTTTTTCTCTCGAATATTCCAGAAGTGTGTGGAAGAGTATTTGATGTGCAAGCGAGATGAGAGATAATGTGAGAAAGAGATGGAATGTTATTTATACCTAATCGACTCTAATTGATTATTTATTTTACAACATTTTCTGACTGTTAATGTTGCTAATCGATTCTAATTAATAAGTTAGCGTATTTCCTTGGTCGACGTCGCTAACAGTTGTGCTTTGGCAAATTGGGACTGTATTGTATGGAAATAGAATTTCAAGTAACCCTTCCATTCTTAGTAATGAGTAATGAGTAATGACATAGTACTTATGTAATAATCGATTCTGTATTCCATGTCTAACTAAATGTAATTCTAAATCTGTCATTTTGTGGTAAGTGGATGTGCCATTTTCTATACGTATTAGATTTAGTTCCTAAACTAAGCATGATTTAGACATCTAGTAAGTAAGAGTTAAAAGTATTAACTAGATCCAGCCGAATACAAATTTGCAGGCTAAAGCAATTTTTTTACCAGTTTTGTCAAAAACAAATCCAATCACTTTCGAACTCCGAAACTTAATTAATATTAACATTCGAAACGATATTTAAATTTTGCATATTTTGTGTTATCTGCCTCTACAGATGCAAATTTGATATTTTTAGTTAATAGCTGCAATTCTTTTTTGGTAGCTGAGCGAGTGAAAATTTGGATGCTCTTTGTGTGTTGCCGAACATGTAATAAAATATTATTATAATCGAAAACAATCAGACCACAAAACAAAGCCAGAAAACAATGAACAGGTTGATGAAGTAATCATCAATGTAGTCACTAATTCTTCAACCTCTATGTTTGCCCTTACAGTTAATTAATCAAATTCCCTCAGATTCTAATCTGACGTAGTTAGATTACAATCTAACCCTCTCTCATTGTTTACAATCTCACGCGTGATATTATAAACTGACAAAGTTCACAATTTTATGTTGGCACATACAAACCGAATAAGTATAGTTTAATATCGTCGAGTGTGCTCCGTTTACCATAAAGCGCTCTTGCGGCACAAATGCACTTACAAGTTCTAAAGTGAATAAATAAAGATCTTATAAACTTTTTCTCCATACTTATTCAAACGTCGATGAAGTTTTTAAAACTTTAGCATTTACAGTGCACTTCTTCTCGAGCGTCCTTATTTCTTTGAATACTTTGCCAAAGTAGGAACAGACACGTTAAAGTTTGAACTTACATGTTATGATCATAATATCTGAATGGGAAATATATTTTGCTCCCGTTTAAAAGTAAATGATTAGATTAGGTACATGTACAATTTAAACATGCTCTGACTGAGTAATACCACAGAATAATAATAAGTACTTGGTAATACTGAGTATAATGTAAAGACTTTGGGCGCCTGCAGACCTTGAATATAATGTAAAAACTTGGGCGCCTGAAAATAAGCCAAAACCTATATCCAGAAGCAACTGGAAATGTAAATTAATTGAATAATGATTACATATATCTTTTACACTCATGCAAGCCCTTACCCAAAGGAAAGGAAGGTTAATATATTCCCAATAATTAGTTAGCTGAGCAACCGATACGTCCAAGTGAACTAATGCAGATTTATATGATTGATCGACAGCTTAACGAACTTTGGACACCAACAGCTGGTACCTAATGGCAGGTTCAGGTCAGGGGATTGTGGTGCTTAATAGGCAATTAGGTATTCCATAACAGTTAGTGTTTTAGTTAGACATAGCCCTTGGGGAGGACATAGGTTCTCTAAAGGCAACTACAGTTTGGGAAATCCGAGTCTTCCAATGACTTGACCCACTTTTAGCTTGGTCCATGAGCCAAGTCATTGGATTGGATATTTAAATACATATTTTCCCTTCTAGCAATTGGGCCCACTCTAAGATTCTAGAGTAGATTTTTGTTGATTTGGTGTTTAATTTATTAAAATACATTGAAGGTGGGCCCAGTTACTAGAAGAAAAAATATTGAAATATTCAATCCAGCTACTTGGGCCGTAGACCAAGCCAAAAGTGGGCCAAGACTCGAAAATCTATTGTGGAAAGGCCTTCTACACAATGAACCGATGACCTACGTAGTGATGTGGGAAGCCACTGAATGCAAATTACCTAGCTAGAGTCATTATGTTGATCTACGGAAGATCTCTTCTTCTCAGTCGGTACACTCTTGTCAGAGTGGTCGTGGTCATCATTTTGAATCACGATTCAGAGTGATGTTCCTCGTAATACGGTGCCATTCCTCGCGGACTGCAGCTTTCCGGGTACTTTCGCTAACCTAGCACTTAGTTGCGGCCTTGATCTGGTCCGTCCATCTCATTGGTGATCTGCCACGTGGTCTGGTGCCCTCAACTTTTCCCTGCACTACGAGACGCTCTATGGAGTCATTACTGCGCCGAGATACATGGCCAAAGAAGGTTAAAATGCGTGACTGAACCGTGGTTGATAGGCGCTGTCTGATGCCGAGTTCTTTTAATATGGAGTCATTGGTACGAAACTCGGTCCACGATATTCCCAGCATCCGTCTCCAGCACCACATCTCCAATGCGTCAATCTTCTTCCTTTCGGTTTCACGAAGAGTCCATGTTTCCGACGCATAGAGGAAAATGGGGAATATTAGGCAATAAACGAGCCTGGTTTTCGTGGCCTTGGTGATGTTTCTGTTGCCCCAAATCTTCCTCATTTTGTCCATAGCAGATAGATACTCCAGCAGTAAGTCTACTAGAGGCTGATGATGATGATGAAGTTACTAGCTCCTTACCTCATCTATAAATTTCTGTAATTGAAAGTAAAGAAAAAGATACACTTAAAACAGGTGAAACTGAAAAACAACAACCCTCAACAATATTATCGGTGTAAAACCAAACAAAACTCCCGCTGAAGAAATCTCATCAATGAGTAAACTTCGTTCAACTTATAATGGATATTGTTCCCAGTTTTTACAGCTAGTGGTTGGTTATTGTAGTTTTTACTGGAAACCTTTTAAGTTGGCTAGTTGGAGGGAACTTTTACATATTGTATTCAATATTGGGGACGGTCGTTCGTGTTTTGTTTTATATTAATTTTTTGGTCCAGCTGTTTGGGTCAAATATTCAGTATGAAATATTTTTGTTAGTCTGACTTTCGACTAGGTTATACAGGGTGGAATTTTGTAATGCCACCTAGAGGGAAAAGTATTCTTAATACTCGTACTATCTATAGTTAGAACATCTTACTCAAAGAAAACATTCCTTTGTTTTTGAAAAGAAAGAGAACTGCATTCAAAGAATCAAATACTAAA